ATATATAAAATTTTCTAAAGGGAAGGTTAATATTAAATTAATGAGATTGAATATTTGAGGAGGAATTTTGAATTCAAAAGTTTATTAAATCAAATTTTAGAATTATTAGATAAGAAAAACCAGAGAATTATTCATTTTTAATATTTTGACTTATTTTGAATAAATAAATTTATTTATATTTCTATAAATGACACAATAAGTATATGATTATTTTTCTTTTGATAAGTATTGTTTTATAATGTTAATATAAGACTTAAAAGTTAATTTTCTTTATTTTAAAGTTGTTAATCTATTTTTTCGAATATCATATTATTCTAATCGAATTATTTTGAAAATCCATTAAAAATAATTTTTGACATTATTTTAGATTTCTTTGAATAATTTTTTGGATTCTTTTTAAATTTGAATGAATTGACTAAAAAAATTTATTTAATTTTAAATTTAGTCATCTTAAAACCTTAATAAATAGCTTAATTGCTAACATTTAAATTATTTACTAATGATAAAATTTTAATTTCATTTATAAAGATTCAGTCAGACTTGATGTATTTTAGTCTGCTTTTCAAATTTTTAAACATGAATAAAAATTAGATTCAAATTTTTTGCCATTAATTTAAATGCTACAATTTTAAAAGCAAAAGATCTTTAATTAAGACAACGAAATTTTGATCTGATCATAACCCATTTAAATATTTGGTTGATCATTAAGACTAGAAAGTATCGTATTGTTTATAGACTTTGAATGATCATATTTCTGTTGTTTAAGGAGTATCTATGAATTGAAAAAGAAACATGCTCTCTTGCAGAAATGATAATATAATTTTAGGTCTGTCATCTTCAAATAAATAGAAATGGTAGGAAAGTCAAAAGATAAAGTTGGCAAAGTAGGTTTCAGATTATCATTTATTTCAGATAAATTATTTTCTTTTCAATAATTGGAACTTAATAATGCTATATTATATAAAATTTCTCATTATATTATTATTGTGGTGATTATAAAAGTATAATAAAATCTTTTTATTTAATTATTAATATTATATGGACCAAGATTTCAAGTGTCGATATGAAGGACATGAAAATGAGCCAATAATGGGATTTTGTATAAAAAAAAATTGTTCCATGATTACCTAATTCTGTTTAACATGTTTACTCAAGCATCATTAAGATCATTTGGATGATTGCATAAGATTCAATTCATTATCTGCTTTAATTAATAAATACATTAAAACTCAATTTGAATTAATAGCAAATTATAAAGACATTCAGAGCTAATTGTAACAAATATTTGAAAAATTTAATAAAAAGTTGGAATCAGATATCACAGTTTTAAAAGAACTGGATCAATAGCTAAAAAACCAATCGTATATGTATTTAAAACAAAAAATTCCTTTACTTAAAGAATATTATTCTAATGAGAGATAAAATCCAGAAAGTAAATAATTATATTCCTAATTAGGATTATTCTTAGAAGAATAGAAAAAGATGATTGAAGCTTTTATGGATATAATAAAAGAAAGAGAAAAACCATAATAGTAACAGCAACAAGAAATTGAAGATGTTGAATAATAAATATAATATTAAGTTTATTAAAAATAGTTATTTGAAGAAGGTAACAAATAAGAAGCTCTGAGATTTTATCAAAAAGGTAATATGGAATAAGAAATGCATAGGGATTTATTTATATAATATTGGTAAATATGAGGAAGCATTAAATTTGTTTGAATAATCAATAAAATGTGATAATAGATTGGATTAAGTGTATAATTTAAAGGGTAAATAATTGTAAGATTTTCTTTAGGCAAGACGTTAAGGAGGTTGAATCGCTATTAAGATGCTATTGAATTTTATGATCAAGCAATTATTATCAATTCGAAATATAGTGAGGCTTTTAATAACAAAGGTAAAAGAATTCTTAAATATTTATTTAATTTAGGGATTGCATTAGAGAAGTTGAATCGTTATTAAGATGCCATTGAATGTTATGATCAAGCAATTATGATCAATCCGAAATATAGTGAAGCATTTTATAACAAAGGTAAATGAGTTGTTATTTTTATGAACTTAGGGATTGTATTATATAAGCTAAACTCTTATTAAGATGCTATTGAATGTTATGATCAAGCAATTAAAATTAACCCTAAAGATAGTGAGGCATTCAATAATAAAGGTAGTTATTTTATATAATTTATTTAGGAATTATTTTATATAAGTTGAATTGTTTTCAAGAGGCTAATGAATGTTATGATCAAGCAATTAAAATAAATCCAAAAGATGGTGAGGCATTTAATAACAAAGGTAGTTTCTTTATATTTATTATACCTTAGGAAATGCATTAAGGTAGTTGAATCGTTATGAAGATGCCATAAAATGCTATGATTAAGCTTTGTTAATTTAATAAAAACCTTTATACATGAAGAATAAAGGTAAAATGCATTGTTATTTTAATAGCTGATGCATTATTTTCATTAGGAAATAAACAAGAATCAAAGAAGTGGGACATCAATGCCTAAAATTCAGAGTATAAAAATGAAAAAATACAAAATTGAAATTCAGTCTTTGTTTTTAATAAATTTTTACTAATTTGGGTATCCTATTTTTATTTTATTCAGTATTATTTAAATTTAGATATAATATCTGAATTATTTTTCAAAATAAACTTTTTTACTCATATTCAAGTTTATTTACAATATAATTACAACTACTATATCTCCAATTATGTCTTAATTGTCTTTTTAGTGGAATTTTTTTTCCGTTTTTTCAATAATATATTTTCGGAATGCTCTCTTCATTAAATAAAAAGTTTGCAAAAAATCTTTGTAAAAAAATAATTCTCCTTTATTTAATTAAAACTTCTAAATTTATCAATAAAAATAATAAAAATAAATCTAATCCTTATAATTTAATTTTTGAATATTCATCCTCATTATAAGAGGAACTTAAAAATAAATTAATAAAAATATTAATTTTTATTTTTAAATTTGTTGGAGATGCAAAAATAAAATTTTTCTAGAAGTATTTCCATAAATGTAAATAAAAGAAGAAAATAAATAATTTATGATTTGAGCCCGAATTAAATACAAATTAAAAGAATTTAGTTTATTTCTTAATTTTATATTTCCAAATAACATTTATAATAATATTTCTGCTTTTAATACTAGAAATGGTCATTGTATTTTTTTCTAAGACAAACTGTTTTTATGAGGAAATTTTCAGAAATTCGCATAACTATCAAATTTTTAAATAAAAAGTTTTTCTTAAATATTACTCAATTATTTAGTAGAATCCTAATATCATTATTTATCTTATTAATTTTTTCTAAATTAAATCCAAATGTCTATTTAAATTTACTTTAAAGTGAAATATGAAACTTAATTTAAATAGCAAGTTTTTATTGGTGATTATCACTTCATAAAATGGAATTAAACTTGATACTAATTGCGCTATCTGAAAAAATATAAATAGTTAAAAAAAATCTTAGAATATCAATTCTTCATTTCATTTTTTATTTACAAATCGTAAGCATATCCTATGTTTATAATTTAAAATAATGTAAATTCAATAAATGTTGAATACCATATCAAGACTAGATATAGACAATAATAAATACACTTAATCTACATATAAGATTCATACAGCTAAGACAATGATAAATAATATAATTATGTAGATATAAGCAAAAATATCCATTAAAAATCCTTTTTTATTAATTGGCTTTTAGTATTTGGTACTTGGTTAACAATTAAATAAAGCAAAATGAAGCAATTAAATCAGTTATCAATTTAATCCAAAAAAAATTATAGTGGAGTTGTTAGAACAGTATCACTAATATTTAATGAAACTATTAAAGTAATAATTGATGAAATATGCGTAGTAATTTAATATTAAATTACTACACATATTTTAATAGAATCCAATACATTTCTAGCTAAAAGAATTCGGAGTTAAATATAATATCATGAAGACTATTGTTTAACAAAATAATCAATGAATAAATTTCTTTCTTTTGTCTAATTATTCTTTAAAATTATTTCCTTCTGTAATTTTGGGTCTGAAGACATTTAGATAGATCATACGAACCTTAGTAGATGAGGATACAGTATTATATATAAATAAGATGTATTGTTTGAAGGTTCAAACATAACATTATAATATACACAAAAAAGCGTAGGAAACTATTATTAGAGTTTTATTATTAGGGAAGTGAATTAAAAGTTAATGGAAAATATTTTGTACTTAATTAGTAGAAATATATGTTCAAAGAAATAGAAAATTAGCTTAATTGCTCCTTTCTATATCTAAGTATTATATACACAGCTCAAATAAAATTGGGTAAATTACAAAAGATAAAGTTAAAGGGAATAGCTTTACAAATTTATTTAAAAAATATTTCCACAAAATATTTACCATAAAATAAGGCAATAAAACAGATATATAGATGATATATCGTGTTAGCTTGAATTAACTGGGGATATATACGCAAAATCATATAGAAAAAAATTTATTAAACATTGAGCATTGAAAATTGTCTTAAGACCTGTTCAATATACTCACACAGGACCCGAAAGTTTTAATTTAACATTAAATTAGTATTTAACAAAATTTCTTGGAAAATAAACATTAAGAAAAAGTAAATTAATATTGGAAGAAGTTATTTTATTAAGATTAGAGAAAAAAGAAAAAATAGAGGATAATTTAAGATAACAAGCAAATAGTAAAATTAAAATGTATACTTAATAATAATTTATTCAATTATGACTATATTTTTCTGCAAATTTCATTCTTGACTTTTTTATTAATTGAAAAAAGTTATTTATTAAAAAAAAATTTTTCTCTTTTTTAGTTTATTCTATGTTCAGTATGATGTCTAATGTTAGAATTTAGAATCAAACTGATGAAAATGCGTGTTTAAATCATCTGGAAACCACTGTAACATTCTCGGAAATCTATCGATCATCAGCTTATTAATTTTAGTTTGACAGACTAAGTAGAATCTATGAAACGCAATTATAAATATCTTATACTTAATCTTAATTTTAAGATGAATCAAAAACTATAAAATTTGCTTCAAAACAAGAAACTAAAGGTTGATCAAATATTTTTCGAAATCGAATTAACTTTCTCTTTTTTTCACATGGTTGGATAGAATTTTACTAAAAAATATTTAATAGTTTGCCAGCTCCAAAGAAATACAAAAGTTATGATTTGAAAAATATAATTATGATAAGTTATAACTCTTGACATCTTAAAAGGTTTATGATTGAACATCCTGTGAAAATCTAATTCATAAAAATGTTGCAGAGTTAATTTTTTCATCAAATTATCTACTCATTAGCTCCTTTAGCATGTAATGTTAAGATTTATAAATAAGAATAAAATACATATTATCCTAATAAATATTATTTATTTCTAAAATATTAAAAATGGGAATAACTTGTTCAAAGCTAAATATTAATTCAAAGTAAATTGAAAAAATTAATTAGTAAAGCAAATATCTAGATACTAAAAAAGAAAAATGCTAATCAGATAATTCCCAAAAATATAAATGCCTATTTTTTATTCTATTAACCAAAGATGCTTAGAAAAGGAATACTAAATAAGCCTTAGTGAAATAAATAAAATAATATATCTTTGTGATGGATAAATAATTAAATTTTAAATTTAAAATAATCATAATAGAAATAAAAAGCTGGAATATTTGATAATTTAGAATAAATAAAATTTCTATAATGGGTTGGAAAATATAATAAAAATTTGAAGAAGTTTGAAAAATGGACTGCAAATTAAAATGGATAAATTCTAAAAGGTCAGTGGTGATTACTCAGATGGTGGTTAAAAGATAGGTTTGCGGAAAGATTTATTTAAGAATTATTGAAGGTGAGTTTTTGCTGATAAACATCATTAGCTAAGTCTTGGAATTCGTATAAGGTGAATATTATGATGATAAAAAATTAGGAAGTTGGAAATATATGTCTAAAAATAAAATGATGTATAGTTTTAATATTAGAATTAGTGGTGGTGGATCATAGAATTAAAAAAATGAGAAAAAAATTGGAAAGTGGGTAGAGTTGGATGAAGAGTTTTCTAATATTAAATAAATCATTTATAATGGTGAATATGACATGAAAAGCCCGAAGGTAGGTAGATGCCCAGGCCACTATAATGGAGAATATAATTTAAAAGGAATAAAGCTAGATACAGGGTAGATTACTCAATTTGAAAATTAAAACAAAAGATATAAATATATGTAATTATTTAAAAAATAGATTTGCTTAATGACATATTAGTAGTGGTAGAACATATGACGAGGGAAACATATGTTATATTAATATTGGAAAGTGGATAGAGTTGTGGGAGTAATTCTATAATTATGTCTAATGAATTTATACTGGTGAATATTAGAAAGGTATGAAGGTCGGTAGATGGGATATTTCTCATTGTAAGTGGGGATAATAGAGATGCTCAGTAGAGATATATTTTGGTTTATAAGAGCATTATCCAACAATTAAGTATGAAATCTTAAAATGCAAAAATATACTTTATCAAAAAATGATTATTATAATAATCAGATTTAATTGATTTAATCATATAGAAGTTATAAAAATACAAGGATTCAATTCCTTACTATGATAAAGCAATATAATTAGATCCTAATTATGCAATAGCCTACATGAATAAAGGTTTATCTTTAATTTCTATTTAATAGGGGATTCATTACATAACTTAGAGTAATACAATGATACAATTATTTGCTAGGATAAAGCATTACTATTAGATCCTAATAATACTGCTGCCTATATGAATAAAGGTTTATCTTTAATTTGTATTTTTATTTGATAGGCAATTCATTAAATAGTTTATAACAGTACAAAGATGCAATTATTTGCTTTGATAAAGCGCTCCAATTAAATCTAATTATGCATTAGCATAGATAAATAAAGGTCTATCTTATATTTCTATTAATAGGGAATTCGTTAAATAATTTATAAATATACTAGGATGCAATTATTTGCTATGACAAAGCACTATAGTTGGATCCTAATTATGCCGCAGTCTATATGAATAAAGGTTAATCTTTAATTTCTATTTAATAGGGTATTCATTACAGCATATAGATTTTATTGATTTCAATATAGAAAATTTCTAAGAATACAAGCTGCAATTACTTGTTATGATAATGCAATAAAATTAGATCCTAATAATATATCAAACTATTAGATCAAAGGTAATTTTAAATATAATTAAAAGGTGATTTGTTAACTTGAATGAAGATGTATAAAGAAGCTATAGAAGTTTTTGAATAAGCTATTAAAAATTGTTAAGCAGATTAGAATTAATTCAAAAGACTAATTATTGAAATAAAAAATAAAAAATGAATAACTACATATAACATNAAGTGGGTAGAGTTGGATGAAGAGTTTTCTAATATTAAATAAATCATTTATAATGGTGAATATGACATGAAAAGCCCGAAGGTAGGTAGATGCCCAGGCCACTATAATGGAGAATATAATTTAAAAGGAATAAAGCTAGATACAGGGTAGATTACTCAATTTGAAAATTAAAACAAAAGATATAAATATATGTAATTATTTAAAAAATAGATTTGCTTAATGACATATTAGTAGTGGTAGAACATATGACGAGGGAAACATATGTTATATTAATATTGGAAAGTGGATAGAGTTGTGGGAGTAATTCTATAATTATGTCTAATGAATTTATACTGGTGAATATTAGAAAGGTATGAAGGTCGGTAGATGGGATATTTCTCATTGTAAGTGGGGATAATAGAGATGCTCAGTAGAGATATATTTTGGTTTATAAGAGCATTATCCAACAATTAAGTATGAAATCTTAAAATGCAAAAATATACTTTATCAAAAAATGATTATTATAATAATCAGATTTAATTGATTTAATCATATAGAAGTTATAAAAATACAAGGATTCAATTCCTTACTATGATAAAGCAATATAATTAGATCCTAATTATGCAATAGCCTACATGAATAAAGGTTTATCTTTAATTTCTATTTAATAGGGGATTCATTACATAACTTAGAGTAATACAATGATACAATTATTTGCTAGGATAAAGCATTACTATTAGATCCTAATAATACTGCTGCCTATATGAATAAAGGTTTATCTTTAATTTGTATTTTTATTTGATAGGCAATTCATTAAATAGTTTATAACAGTACAAAGATGCAATTATTTGCTTTGATAAAGCGCTCCAATTAAATCTAATTATGCATTAGCATAGATAAATAAAGGTCTATCTTATATTTCTATTAATAGGGAATTCGTTAAATAATTTATAAATATACTAGGATGCAATTATTTGCTATGACAAAGCACTATAGTTGGATCCTAATTATGCCGCAGTCTATATGAATAAAGGTTAATCTTTAATTTCTATTTAATAGGGTATTCATTACAGCATATAGATTTTATTGATTTCAATATAGAAAATTTCTAAGAATACAAGCTGCAATTACTTGTTATGATAATGCAATAAAATTAGATCCTAATAATATATCAAACTATTAGATCAAAGGTAATTTTAAATATAATTAAAAGGTGATTTGTTAACTTGAATGAAGATGTATAAAGAAGCTATAGAAGTTTTTGAATAAGCTATTAAAAATTGTTAAGCAGATTAGAATTAATTCAAAAGACTAATTATTGAAATAAAAAATAAAAAATGAATAACTACATATAACATAAAAAATCTTCAAATTATTTTATCATCTAAAAATTTGAAGCTATTTTTCCATAAACTACCATTTCAATATTTTTTAAGATATTCTTTTTCTACTTGTCTTATATTAAATAAACATTTAAATTTAAAATAAATATAATATATTTAAAGATAGAATTATCCTATTTTACTAAATTTATTTGAATATAATATTTTTAAATTGGTTTATAAACAGGATTTGAAACAGATACTATAATGGAGAGTAAATTATTCAAAATTAAAATTATTTTAAATGAGGTATTCAAGTAGAATTTATGATGACTTTTTAGTTAGAATTATATAAACTGAAATAAATAATAGGTTATCAACATAATTTAAACCTTTTTAATCAATATCCTTTTCCTTATCTAAAGTATCTCAATCAATTTATATTGAGTTTTATAAAAATTAATTGTTAGGAACATTTAAAAGACTTATATGTTGCTTTTATTCTGTCAATAAATATTAAATATTGCTATATTGCCGATTTTTTTAACAAAACTATGTTAAGTCATAAATTCCAAATTACATCCTACAAAAAATGGCTCCAAAGAACTCACTTAAATTTTTAATATTCTGAGAGCTGGAATCTATTTAAAACTCAAAATTAAAATTTAGAAAAAAATCCATAATGTAACTTAAGAAGAATATTATATGTTCCAATTAAAAGTAGCTCTTTTAATAAAAAAATTTAAATTGACTAATCTTAAGTTCCTAAATACTTATAGATACATCAATTTGGTATAGGGCAATATTAAGAGAAATAAATACTTCAATAGAAATAAGAACAAAGGTATTTAGAATAACGCAAAAAAAAGAAAAAAAAGGATAGCTAATACCTCTTTTTTTGATAATTAATTTCAAAAGGCTTATAATAGGTGGGAGAATGGGTTTCTTTACATCAGATTAACAATTAACCAGATTTATCCAAATTATTTTATCAAATAATAAATAAAATTTTCGAAATTAAAATCAGGTCAAATATTTATACCTAATAAAATATATTATTTTCATTTTAATAACATAAAAAATCCTATAATAAAATATAAAAATTGTTTAAATGAAGAATTCAAAAACACCCTCTATGATTATTACAAAAAGTAGGTGATATACTAATAATTCCTAAAGGTTAGATTTATTTTAGAAAGACTAGAATTGTTTATTAAATACAATGTTTAAAAGTAATTACGCTATAATTTCTAATTAAGTTTTGAATATTTCTTTAAGGTTTATATTTCCTATCCATTTGATTCTAAAAACCTTCTTTTTTCTCCTTTATTTTTTTTTAATATTGAATTTAATTATTCAATATAGAGTGATTATAATGCTTATGTAAATTGAATATATTTTATTATAATTGATTAATTAATTTTAACAATTCCTTTTCTAATCAACTTTTTGTTCTCTGCTCCTATTTATTAAATGCTATATATAACTAGATAACTTTGTTTTTCTTCATCATTTATATTTAGTTAATTTCCCTGACAATTTTATCAAAGTGATTATTGATTTTTAATTACTTAGGCTATATACAAATTCAATACTTTAAAATTTTAATTATTCTTAAATTTATTTTCATCGATTTTTCTTTATTTACAGAATATTTTCCTATCATAATCCTTCTAAGTTATTGTGAATGGCTGTCTAATCAAAGTATTAATTTTTATGTCTAATCGTTTTGGTTGTATCAAAATGTAATGACCTTTATAAAAAATTATTTTTAAAAGATTGAAATTTGCATTTTAAGTTCGATAAATATTCTAAACAATTTTAACTCATAGTTAAGAAAGGATCCTTCAATGTAATTGAAATAATTTTCGCATTCACATTATACCACCTTATAATTAATCATGATAAATAATAATATTAATATAATAAATCACAATAGAAGAAAAAAAAGAGAAGTTAGATTTTAAAAAGAAATTTATGCACGCCTCACCCTTATCTAAATTTTCTCTATATTAAATTCTATAAAATTGTCACATTAAATGTCATTATTAAAATTTCGCTAATTATGGCTATA